CGGAGTCCGTTGGGGGTTGGGATCTCGCCGTTGGTATTATAGGTATAGTTCATCGTGGAGCCGTCCGGGCCTGGCGCCATCATCGGGGAGCCTTGACCTTGAGGACCAGCGGCGTTGGGCTGCTTAGTGCCCATCTGGTTACCGTGGTGGTGCTGTAGGTGCTGCGAGTAAGCTGCAATGGATTTCTGCTGGGCGGTCGGAGGGATATTTACAAAGTTCTGGAACTGGGGTCCTGCCAGTTGCGCAGGGTTTATGTTATGCGCCGTGAGCATCTGTGTAGCTACAGCACCCGGTCCGCCGAGCATTTGCTGCGAGGGCATGCCTTGGGCTGGGCGGCCATTTGGCATCATACCGACGGCAGCGGGGTTCGGGTTAAAGTCGTTGGGGCGTTGCCTCTTTGAGGGGGATGGCGCGTTCTCGCCTGAGGCTGGTGATGATTGGCGTTCGCGATTAGGGTCCATCTGGGAAGGATCTCTCTGCATTTGATTTTGCTTTGCTTGATGCATCATCATTCCCGGGCTAGTAGGGAGTTGGGATGTTAGTGATGGATAGTTCCCGAGGACTCTTGAGTTCTTTTCAGTGAGTGGAGAGGACTTACTTCTGATTGTTGGTTATCGCGGTGCGGACAAGAGTGCCGGGCTTCATTGGCATGCCCATCGCGGCGCCGCTCTGCATACGAATCATCTGCTGATATTGTTGCTGCGTTAAACCTTCGGGCCGCATCGTACGGAGGAGTTCTTGCTGTTTTAATTGCTGCTAAGTGGTGGGAGGTGGAGTTAGTCAACCCAGACTAATCAGGGGATTGACAGAAGGTATACATGTGCTGTGACGATGAAGGAGGGATGATTGACGAGAGTTGCTTACCTGAGTGTGGGCAACATATTGGTTTACGTTGCCATTGGCGGCCTTGGTGCGCTGAGCGTTGTAGATATCCCAGAAGAGACAGAACCATTCATATAAGAAGGAGGAATCGGAGGCTGGCATGGGAAGTTTGGGAGGAGGAAGGTCATCGGGATGCTTTGAGTCGGGATCATCCTTCATATCGGTGTCCATGCCATCCTCAGATACGCCATTGACATTGTTCCCGCCCTTGGGACCGTCTTTTTGAACATTGACGGGCTGGCCACTCTGAATGACTGAACGAGCGCATTCATACATGCCGTAACGGAGGAAGTACTCATAGATGTAGGTATTGAGCACGCCTCGCTGGCTGTCGTTAACCTGTTGTTGCCGAGCGAGGTTTGCAGCATTTGCGGCGTTTGCAGCAGCCGCAGCAGCGGCCTGTGGGTTAACCGCACCATTGTTCATCATTGGGATTGGCGCACCACCAACGGGCCCCCCCATTGGGTTGATGTTCGCCATGTTGACGTTTGGATTCATTGTAGAGATTTAAATCAAGTGAGAAATTTGCAAGATCCGCAATACAAAAGGGATGAAATAAGAGGATGTATTGAGGCCAAAGCCTCACAACGGTGAGTGACCAAGACAGCCCGCACCGCCACACTGGAGGGACTTGCGAGACCCCAAGTAGTGGACGTGACGGGAATGTGTCACGAGGGGTTAAAAGGCCGCTGGCCTAGTAGGCGCAACGAGATTCAATATTGGGCGGGACCTGGTTGGTCGTTTCGCGAAGGAAAAAATGGTATGCCGAGCAGAGCGTGTCGGGATGTGGTGTCTGGGTAGTTGCGACAAGGCGACACTCGTTTCGTTGAGCCGTCGGCCGTGTGTCGTGACGATCCAACTTGCCGGATTTTGAGTTGCAGTCAATCTAGGGCCGGGCGCTCAGATTGAAAGAGCCGGGGAGCAAGTGCAAGACGAAATGAATCGAGTTGCGGGCGAGCGAGTTTAAATAGGCTGGGGGAAAGTTTAGCTAAGTGTGGCGGCGGTACGCGGTCACGTAAATGACGGGACGTAAAGGACGGGAAATGAACTTACCAATGCAAGCTGCACTTGCAAAAATGACCGCCTAAACAGTCAAACTGATGTGCAGAGGCGATGCGAGTGGAAGGTGTTGATTCGGCGAGCCCTCCGCTGTCCAAAACCAACGATTGTCGTGAGAATGTCTTGGTCGGTCAATCGCCCCCGACCCAACACGGTCTGGCTCGAGCTGCACGTTGGGGCGTTGGGTTTGCCCTTTGGATCGCTCGGTGGCGTGGAGTGCCGAACTCCAAAATCTGGTATCGCGATAGCTGGGCGAAAGGATGGCCAGACGGACGTGGTGATGGGAGATGAAAGGGGATTGTAAATCCAGAGCGAGGTGGGATCGAATTGGGAAATGGAAATGGAAGAAGGGAATCAAACTGAGGAGGGTGGGTGGTCCGCTGCCTGCCAGACAGCGAGGGTGCCACAGTGAGTTCGCCAGGGCTGCACAGTGCTGATGACTGGACCAGACGGTATTTGCACGGTGCCTGGTGCGCTGGGCTGGGCCGGCTTTAGGTGGCATGATGCACAGTGTGGGTGGAAAACCCGGCGGGAAGTAAGGTACGCTCACTCATACGTCTGATTTTAGCTCACGCGCCTGGCTACGGTCGCAACCTAGAATTGGCTGTGGTGGCAACTCCGCCAAAATTGTGTAAAAGACGACCTCTGCTTCTCATGTTTCTCTATCTATCTTACCAGGCTCATTCGGACCACCACTGTAAATCGCATATCTCGGCTTGGGTTGGTCTGACACGCAATTTATCACTTATTTATGCTCCGCGTTTGATGGATGGATGATTGTTCTGCTGTTCTTTTTATGCCCAACTTTTCAAGGTAACGGGCCCCCTGTATCGAACCTGCTACACCTTTTTTTCGAGTGGGTGATCTGCCTCGCCGGCAGGCTGCGTAAGCCTCAGCATGGTTGCGTACTTTTGAGCCCGCTATCGCCTGATTGGGCCTTCTGCCTTAGGCACAAACAGTGCAAACACCAACTTGCTGAGAAGATACCCAACCACCATTAGATAATAGGACTGATCGTTGAAAGGGGCATATTGCCTACCTAGGTGGATGAGTGTCGGTGGAAGTTGATGGCACCTGCTGATCAAGCATGAAGTTTTCATTGCGTTCGGTGCGAGACCCTTTCGACGTTGGCGATCTTCTAAGTGCACCCCACGCACTAGTAGTTTGATAGATACTACTAAATTAAGCGTACTTGAAAATTGATATGCTGTTGGATAAACAAGGTAGGTGGATAATCCGGGAGGCAGGTATTAGAGCTTCCACGGATCTACCATCACTTATTTAGGTCAAGAACATGTGCAATTGCATCATCGTAGGATCAGGGAGACAGCAGATCAATTGCTTCGATCTCTTGGGCTGCCTCTGAAGCAGTTGATCACTGGGTTCTTGCAGATATAATAATACCTCTTGTTGGTTACTCTGCCCTTCACGATGGGCTTCTCACAACCAGGCTTCACATGTCGAAAGCAATTGAAGGCCATATATAGACTTGCGAAAGTTTATCTTTGATTCTAGTCTGGTGGCCCAAATATAAGAGACCACTACCAATGTCTCACACTTCATCCTCACACCAGCTGGAATGACCCTCACTCGCCTCGAATAGAGTGGCTGCTGCTCCTCTGTATAGTTGGCGATTTCGCATGCACTGCCTTTCTTGCAGCTACTAACCTGGTCGCATCTTATTTGTGGACTATGATCTTGGACCTGCAAGAAGAGCGCACAAACCGGCCTCGGGCATTTAATTTGCACTGTATGTGAAGTTTGCAGAATACGGTCGCTGCAGTGTATATATAGTTCGGCTTTCTGGATGTGAAGCCCGCCCCAGTTGATATTGACATTTTGAAATATCGTTCAGTCATCCTCAGGTGGTAATTCGTCGTCAAGATACCGTACCAAGGACACCCTCATCTCTGTCGTATCGTTGCCTCGTAGGATATCGCTGATGAAATGCGCCTCAACTTGCATCTGGACCATCTCCAAAGCACCTCTTAACACGCCGCACAGGATGTTTGAGAACCAAAGCTCGTCTTGCGCTCTCCCATCGTCGGGGAGTTCCACGAAATCGGCCAAGGGGTTTTCGTCGAATACGAGGGAGAACTGGTTATTTTCGCTGGTCCAATTGGTCACTTGTGGAGTAATGTTCAAGAAGATCTTGAATCCCACCTGGAAGTTCCGTTTGCGTTAGATATCATGAACTTTCTCTCGGTATAAGAAGTATGAGGATAGAGGGGGCAAAATACTTTTGCAATCATCTCGGCAGTCTCGCGGAAGTTGGAGCATCGTTTCATCGTATTTGATTTGGCCAGATAATCTTCAATAAGGCGTAACCCGATATTGTATCCCATCTTATCGAGTTGCTTATTTACCTCGATGTAGTCGTTGTCAAAGTCTTTACAGAGCTGAACCACTATCGTGCCGTACGTAAGGGTCACAAGCTCGGCATTGACCTTGTCGATGCGTGTTCTGAAGGCAGAATGGTCAGCTTCCTCCCCATGGGAGGGGCGTATATGGGGGAGTCTTACTTCCATATTCTGGAGCATACGGTTAGCACAGCCAATAGTCCTGGAAAAAGTTGGTTGACCTACTCCTCGCCTATTCTTGACGCCTTGTTGGCAGCCATTGTGGCGGGGTTGGTATGTGGTGGTGCGCTCGGCTCAGCACAGTAACGAAAATCTGGAGAAGAGTCGGCTCAACAGGATCGCAGGTTCTCTTCGTAGGAATCGCAGGAGTTGGAGTATGAAGGGATCGCTTCGTTTCGGCTGGACATGTGCTTTGTTGGTGTCGTAAACGCTATGCCATACCGCCTCCCCAATTTGGCCGATGATGGTAGGGACCTACCTAAGCGGTGCTGCTCAGGGCAGCCAATCAAAAGCCCCGGCGCCCTAGCTATATCCCCATCCTTCAATAAATCTCGTCTTCGCGTTGCGATGACCGGTTACGACGTGAACGAAGAAATTGCAACATAACAAAAAATAGAGAAAGCCATTCCCATCAAACCCCGAGGCTACATATTGGACGCGGCTAGCTATTTTCTTTCAATCATCACCACCACTACGAAAATGTCCGCCGAAAAGAGACCCGCCGACGATGATCCTGGCGCGAGCCAGATGCTCGTGAAGCGACAGAACGTGAGCAATTCAACCGGCGCGCTTGCTCGATTGAATGCGTCTAGCAACGCACTTGTGCAGGGAGTAAGTTGAGTCTCGACTGCTTGGCTTCCATAGATTGCTGATTGATATCCAGGCCCCCCGAACAAGCGCCCTTCAAGCTCCTGTAATGGAATTGTCGGGACACTCTGGGGAGATTTTCACAGCTAAGTTTGACCTCACGGGCAACCTGATCGCTTCCGGCTCCATGGATAGGAGCGTGTGTATGGACCCCTCCTCTCTACCATGCTTGTGAACACGGGGTCGCTAACTGTACCAGTACTTTGGAGGACATACGGCGACTGCGAAAACTACGGCGTGTTAAATGGACACAAAGGCGCAATTCTCGACCTCCAGTGGTCTCGCGACTCGGAGATTTTGTACACAGCATCCGCCGATATGCACCTCGCAAGCTGGGACTTGACGTCAGGTACGAGAATCAGGCGATATATCGGGCACGAAGAGGTGATCAATGCCGTGGATATTAGTCGACGTGGTGAAGAACTTCTTGTCAGCGGCAGCGACGACTCGACCATTGGCATCTGGGATCCGAGGACGAAGAATGCTGCGGATTACATTGAGACCGACTTCCCAATAACGGCATTGGCTTTATCGCAAGCAGGAAACGAAATATACACGGGCGGTATTGATAATGATGTCCGAGTGTGGGATTTAAGGAAGAAGGCCGTGATATACTCGATGCCAGGTCATTCCGATACTATCACCTCGCTGCGTGTTTCTCCAGATTCGCAGTCCTTGCTGTCATATTCCATGGACTCGACAGTGCGGACGTGGGACATTCGGCCGTTCGCCCCAGCCCAACGACAAATTCGAACCTTTGATGGTGCAACCAAGGGCATCGAGAATAATCTACTGGGAGCCAGCTGGGATTCTGATGGAAAGAAGATTGCTGCTGCGTCGGGCGATGGTACCGTCATGGTATGGTCCAGCGCAAGCGGCAAGCTTCTGTATAAACTCCCCGGTCATAAGGGCACAGTAAACTGCGCCGAATTCTCGCCTGGCCAAGATCCGATCTGTAAGTCGGCCTCAGATCTACTTGTTATTTCAGGGTGCTAACATCTTCTCTTCCGCTTTAGTACTATCTGCTTCATCCGATCGGACTATGTTGCTAGGCGAGCTCAAGTGAAGTTGTCACAGCCAACCACGATGTCAATCGCAGGCCAAGCATTATTCCTCGGCCATGGACCGGGATCTATGGAGATTATGATAGCTGTGTATGAAACGGCTTCAAGGTTGGAAATAAGCGAAGCACGGTACTTGTTCTCCGTATCGTATCTTGATTCTTGTTACACCTTGTGGTGGGGAGCGGCTGATCTCTGGGCTGGAATAATTGCATTCAGCCCTGAGCAGACGTACGGATCGACTTGGTGGGGGGCACCGGAGTTGGCGAGCCCTTGCCTAATTATTGAGTGGGCAATGCCCCCCTGTGGAAGTTTGAGAATCAACATGTATCAGATGAAGGGACAGGTCCAGCTTAGAAGAGTGTTTAGACGCCCTGAACACGGGCAGGCCGCGCCCCGATGCGACCCTAAATCGTCCGGTCTGTCCAACGATCTCTGCCAGGCTCTGACACGTTGCAACACCCGTAGCCCATCAATCAACAAGTAATATCGCTCCTTGACGTCGTATTGTTTGTGTCCCCGTGCCTGATCATGTCTGGTCCTTGTTCATTTTCAGACTCCAAGGTCTGCGCGCCTATCTGCCGCCCTGAGCCACTAAAACACCAAAATGATAGCCAATGTGAAACCGTAGATCCCTGCACTTCTCACAGGATTGGCGCTCCTGCAGCCCACAGAATGGGGGCGGGACGCACTGTTCGTCTCCTGAATCCAGGCTACTGTCGCAGGTGACCCCTGTTTTCCTGCGATTCGATCCATGCACCGCGACTGGCATGCAGCTACAGCACACTGCGCACCGCATGTGCTCATACTGTTAGTTCTCTGAAGAACGCCATGCGTCCCATCGGGTTCATGGACAACTCGTAGATTCCATTCGAGTGGCCTGTGTTTGCACTTGGCGCCGTGGCGCGAGTTTGATCTGCAGCACCAACAGCTTCTTCCACTCTTTTTTCCCACGCTCGTTTTGTCCAGCTGTTGATTGCCTGGAGCGAAGCAGATCTTGCCCTTGTTTCGAAGTCCCTTCTTCACCAAACTTGTTTTTGTTCAATCTATTTTGTTCCAGTTCCTATTCCATCCTTGTTTCTGGGAAACATTTCTATCCCTTCTTCCCGCACTTGTCTGAGGACTGCACTGTGCTTTCTTCAAGCATCGTCTGCTTGGGCCTAAAAGAAGCTGTGCTTCTCCTCTAGCTGGATCATAGATTCATTCGCTTGCACCAAATACAGAGCTGGCCTCTCTATCCCTTCTTTTCGTTATTTACCACATCCCTTCTTCCCCCCTTGTATTTTTATGTACTATCTACAGTTACGGGAATGAGCATATAAGATGAGAGCCACATCACCGATCATGACTGCGGACGGAAACCTGGAGAGAATCCGGGAGGATCTTATTCGGCGCGCACGAATGGAGAGAGGTCTTGACCTGGAGCAGGGTCTACCGCATGGAAACTCTCCCGAAGAACGGGGCGAGGATGAGGAGCGAGCTCGCGGAGGCCTGGCAGGCCTGTTTACCCGCATGAATGAGCGCCGGCAGCAACGGCAGCAAATGCCCGAGGTCGAGGCTGTCGAGGAACCCAAGTCGCCAGTTGTCGTTCAGCAGGGAGCCGGCCATCGGTTCACCCTCCCCAGATTCAGCCGCTTCTGGGCCAGCGGCGCCAACGGGGCAGGATCTCCAGCACCATCGCACTCCGAATGGCCATCTGCTCTCCCGACGTTTACTACAGACAGCCAAGCGGGGGGTCTTGCCCCCCCACCACAGCTAGCCACACATGCTCGGTCAACGATTCGGGCACCCTCGAGCTTCTACTCCAGCATGGAGGATGTGTCCACCAGCCAGGATACATCCTCCTCACGGCCAAGACATGAGCGTCGGCATGGTCGCCACCGGCATAAACACAAGAAGAGAGGCCATCGTGGGAGTCGAAAGCGATCGAAGAAGCAACCGAAGAGGTTTCTAGGCTGCTTCCCCTGGGTCAAGTCGCGGGAGATGCGTGCCCAAATCCTACGATGCTTTGTCACCGGGTTATTCCTTGTCTCTCTTCTATCAGTTTGTAAGTGCTTTCTTGGTGGCAATGATTCGGTCTCAGATACTAATTGTTGGATTGCGCGTGTTAGATCTCGCCCTATCGTTAACAAAGAACATCCAAATGGGAGACTTCACTATTGTTCTCATCGTCATCATTGTCTTGGGCACACTGGTATTCTGTTATGGTTTGGTCCGTCTGTGCGTCTTGGTTTTACGACGAGATCGTGAGCGGGTGCGGGAGGCAAGCCGACCGGAACCATGGACACCCGGGGTATACAAAATTCCCGAGGAACCGATACAGGTTCGACTGGCCAGCGACGAGGAGGCGGTGGGCGCTGTCAAGGACAAAAAGAAAGTCACTCCACCCGCATATGGCGTGTGGAGGGAGAGTGTGGTAAGTCCTATTCGCGACCATTTTGGCTTATGGAAAAGGGATCAACTAACAAACACTTTCGTAGCGGGCTGACCCTGACCGGTTATATTGGAAGCGCAACGAGGAGACAGTTCCAAGTATGCCAGAACCGACGGCGGCGAGAGCTGGCCCTCGGCCGCCGTCTTATGCTTCGGACGATGGTGTATCATATGTGGTCGAGGCTGTTCCTCGATCGGTTGCGCCATCATCCACAGAATCAATGCCACCTCATCCCTCTGAAGTTGATAGAATTAGCCACAACAGAGCGGCATGGTAGGATTGAGGGAGACTCCGGCATCGATAGACACATTCATTTTCACATTCCCTATCGTTATGTATATATGGGCCATGCAAGGCGTTTGGCAGGAGGGCGGATCGTCATTCAAGCCCTTGGTTTCGGCTCCGCTATGAGAATCACGGATATCGCATTTGGGAAAAAGCGTCAATTTTATTGGGATAATATAATGCCGTATGTAGCGTATTGTCAAATTAACATGCCGTCGATTAACATGTCATCCTCTTCTGCCAATTGGTGAGGAGTTCTTGTAGTCTGCTTGTCAAGGTAATGAATAAGCAGGCCACCACCCGATGTAACTCTACCCCGTCCCAAAGAGTTCATGTTGAATGCTTACGCTTCTGGGTGAATAGATGGGCGAGGAGGGAGGGAGTAGAGACTGGCAAGCTCATTGCTTGGCGTCGTGCAGGATGGGATATAAGGCCAGGTCCGTGGTGCAGAATAGACCGAAACTGGCCATGAATGGTTGCCAAGTGGGTGACATTGAAATTGAGACACTCAAACATTAAGCTGCTTATTTTTAAGTCTGCGATCGATATTATCAGATTATTAAGTGCTAATAATATTTACCACAGAGACAATATAGCGGATGTTATCACTTAATTTCATTTTATACTACTGAATTTCTCTATTGATTGTAGAAAGTAGTCTGTTTATAACCAACTCTTCCATTAGGTGTCTCATTTCTCCTGTCACCCACTTGGCTGCACAGGGCTAGCCAGGGTGACCAAAGGGGCAACCAGGCAGCGTCTGTTTTGTCCCGTCTCATGCAATGCTCCCACCAGCTTGTTGGGTCCTGCAGGTGCGTCTGGTGAGAGGCAAATGCGAGCATTGAACGGACATTCGTGGAGTCCCCACAAGCAAATTAACGCTACATGCATGAGAGCGGCGCCTCTTCAGGGCCCCTTCAGGGCATGGCTCCGGTAGTGGGGTACTTGTCGCCCAGCGTCTAGTCCGGAACAAGCAGGCGAGCGACATGGACTGTACACGTGGACCCCGCTGAGCCGGCGGGCAGAGCACGCCAGCAGGAGAGCGGGCCAGGTACCGCAAAGTACATTTCGACGCTGCGTGGAGCCGACGCAGGGTGGCCAAGTACCGCTTCCCCTCCAGGTTGGTGGCTAGCGCACTGACCTATTGGCTGCTCCCTCTGTAACCTACCAAAGACCGGGCAGGCCCTAAGAGCGATATGGTGATGTCTGGCATTGGCCTCAGTGGCTGCTAGTATGACCCCTCGCTGCCGGCACTTCTCGTCTGCTCGATCCGCGAACTCCAGCAAGGCAATGGTTGTAGAGCGCGCAACTTGCAAGCGGGGGCTATGAGGCACATCGGAGTGTGATAGTTGGGCAGGTCTCTGCGTTATCTCACAGGTCAATATGCGCAAGGCATGCAGGCTGATGCGCCCAGTCCCCTCCATCCCATCGCGAATGCCAATGACAGCCCAGGACACGGCATGACCACCCACGTTGCCACCAACCGCCAACAGCGTGCGCTAGGAGTCGCTTGTGCGCAGGGTAATTAAAATAGCACGTCGTCTGGCCAAGGTGGTGCAGGTGGTGGTGCTGCTACCCCTACCTGAGGTGCATATGGGCCTCCATCTGTTCTCCATCCAGCTACACATGTTAATTACAGCACAGACTACCTTACTAGTCGTATCGCCTCAATCCAGAGGCGACTCGTCCGAGCTGCTAGGGACTAAAGTAGATACGGTATGCTGTAGGCATTCCGGCCAGGCCAATCCCCCTCGTAGGTTCCAGTGTTAGTTGCAACTCCACTCCACCCGCTCCCGCCGACTCTCTCTCGCTCTGCTCCTCCTCCACCCCTCCTCCCTCCCAATAAATATTTCTCCTCAGTAAAAATTTTCTCCCTCTTTCTGCTGTCTATCCATCATCGCGAACTTCCTATCCACCGAAAACTCGCTCCATCCGCTGGACGTCCATCTGGTGCCATCATTGCTCTCCGAACAAGTGTCTAACACGCCGTTGCACCGTCTGCGCAACGAGGAAATACCTAGGTGCGTACCAACACGATCACTCGCGAGCCCTTGTTTTGCCCGCCCTGCCTTCCCCGAGCACTGTCCTGCCTGTCGCGCCGCCGCCGCAATCACATTGCTTCTGCTCTGCCTCCGCATTGCACTTGGATCCTCGACAATTGCCCTTCTGATCTGCCAGGCGCACCTCACCCAACCCAACCCCAGGTACCGAGGATATGGGTAGCATCCGCTGTGTGCGACGCTGCCATCCAGCTGTGCGACCTCGATGCGGCGCATCCGATTACCTTCTTCACTCCGCAGGTCCCTCTCTATGCGCATAATCCGGAACCAATCTTCGAATCGCCGTTTGTCGCCTGCTTGTAATACCCCGAAATAATCGCACATCTCCTCTTTCTCGGCCCTCGTCGCCCCTCCTCCCACCGACGAGGACTGCGCGCCAGCCCATCCGAATAGCGACACTTGGTCGCAAACAATATGGAGGCGCGCAATCGAGTAGTTCATGATGTTGCTTGTCATTGACAAGATTGGCTTCCATGCTGCTACATCTTGATACTACCTGCGCGAGGCTGCCCTGCTGGCGACGTGTCTATCCAGTTGGAGATTGTATCTATTGGGCTCCCTGCAACCATGTTTTTATCTACAACGACGCAGCAACCCCTCGCCCCAGACGGCCAGACATACTAGGAATCACGTAGCCACTCGTGGCGTCGCTTAATCTACCTGGGGACTCTGAATGCCGACAACCCGATTCTATCAGAACAGGCGGCGCGAACAGGATGGCCTTGATCTCTTGGGCTCTGTGCACCCAGGCATAACCAATCATCAATCGATGTCCGGTTTCACTAACAATTTTTTGCACACTGCAGGCTCGATTCCATTGAAACATATCTTATCACCACTAAAATGTCTTCGCTCTCCCGCCGAGCTTGCTACAAGTGTGGCAACGTTGGCCACTACGCCGAGGTCTGTTCTTCTGCTGAGCGTCTTTGCTACAACTGTATGTATATTCTCCTCCCAGTGCGATATAACTTCATTTGCTAATTCTTCTCCTCATAGGCAAGCAACCTGGTATGTTGAACTAAGATGCTTCTCGCAGAATGTGTTCTTGTCTGACTCTTATCCTCCAGGCCATGAGTCCAACGGCTGCCCTCTTCCCCGCACCACCGAGGCCAAGCAGTGCTACCACTGCCAGGGTCTTGGCCACGTCCAAGCTGACTGCCCAACTCTGAGGCTCAGTGGAACTGGCGCCAGCGGGCGCTGCTATAACTGCGGCCAGCCCGGCCACTTGGCTGTAAGAAGACGAACCCAAACAGCACAGCATCTGAACTTGAACTGATGTTTCCTCCTAGCGCGCATGCCCCAACCCCGTTGGTCCCGGGGCTCTGGGCCGAGGTGCTCCCATCCCTCGCGGCGGTGGCTACCCTGGTGCCTACGGCGGCCGTGGTGGTTTCGCCGGCGGTCCTCGCCCTGCCACTTGCTACAAGTGCGGTGGTCCTAACCACTTTGCCCGCGATTGCCAGGCTCAAGCCATGAAGTGCTACGCGTGTGGCAAGCTCGGCCACATTTCTCGCGACTGCACCGCTCCCAACGGCGGGCCCCTGAACACCGCTGGAAAGACTTGCTACCAGTGTGGTGAGGCTGGCCACATCTCCCGTGACTGCCCGCAGAAGGCTGCCAGCGGCGAGATCAACACCGAGGTTGACATCAACAACGTCGCAGCTCCCGTGGCTCCTATCGCTCCTGTCGCCTAAGCGACAGTATACGAGCGCCCGCATCTCCTCCTTGGCTCACTACAGGCATGATCCATTACGGCGGGAGCTCCATCCGTGCGAGTAGTTGACCCTCCTCGACCAGCCTGGAGATCACTCCACTTGCAGCACTTTCTTTCTTGCCTGCATCGGTACTTTCTCACTTTGCATCTTTTTCCATGTGACTATAAGGCACTGGCTTCTTTGCACCTCTACGAAATGATTTCCTTATTGGGAGGGCCTCTTTCTTTTTCTTCATTGGCTCTCCTTTGTCTGCACGGCTCGTTAACGTTTTCTTGATGATCCTGGATTTTCTTAACAACGGCGCAATCGGTCTCATTTTTATCACACCTCTATTTTTTTCGCTTCAGTCATCTCTTATCGATCGGGTTTACCGGAATCAAGTTCCAGCGAGCGTTGGCTTCTGCTTGTCTGGAGAGCTTGACGGCGGGCAATCCAGGGGGAAAAGGGGGTCAGTGTTTGGGCCGGCTCAGCTCGACGTGTGACGAGATGCCGGCGCAGTCGTCGCCCCTTTTTTCCTTTTGCTTGGCCCCGCCCATCGGATATGGTCGACTTGACACGACATTTATCGATATGACTTTGGATCACACCCATGACTTCCTTTCACGACGCGGACGAAAGTATTTATCACGTGACTCTTAACGACCTGAAACAAGTTCAGGCACCGGCGATGGATATACCCAGCAGTACTCTGAGTGTGTTATAGTGTTGGTGAGCTTGGAAATTGCCTCGGGGCAACCTCACAATCCGAGAGGACGACATATTAATCGTGCTGGGCGCAAGGCAAGGCATCGGGTGCCTGCGCAATCTACTGTGCCAACAAATCCAACAGCGGCGTCCTCGCTGAGACGGTCGCTGTTGGAAGTGGGAAATGATGTCGCTCGATGATTGGTAAAGAAGAACGGCACAGCAGATATCAATGGGGGAAAGAGAGAAACGAGAGAAGTCGGTGAGGGGGCAGGCAGGGAACGCAGAGGGGGAATACGCTGCAGGCTTTTGGGTTGTGCAACAACCCAGCTGTAGCTTCCCTTCCCCCTATGCTCCGGTGCAGGCTGGCGACGGGAAGAAGTGTTGGAGAGCAGGGGGTGGCAAACGTGGATGACGCAGTTGACAATGGTGTAAAAGAGGAGAGTGCGAGCGACCAAGAATCAGTCACGAGTTCATTTGAGATGAAACTGTTGAAGTAGATGATGAGATGTTGAGGTGAGTCTCATGCGTGTTGTAAGAAGTTGTTGTCGTCTGCCGTAGGGGAGTGTGCCGCATAGCGATGCGTCGCGGGCCAAGATCGGGAAGAGAGAGCTCCTGTCTGATTGCCAAAGGGTAGGTAGACTGGTAAGTCAGGAGGCAAGTTAGGAGCCAAGATAGGAGTCCAGTCTGCCCGGATTGACCCAAAAGCACAGGTCAATGAGGCGAGTCAGGTAGGTCAGATTGTAAAGATACCCGATACGGATGATCAACACCACGTAATGTAATGATAGGATAGTAGCTGACACTCCCCCTAGTGTTGCCTATCCGCAACTAGAAGACAAGTACACTTTGCTACTTGTCCAAAGTCTAGCTTTAGTTGGGAAAAAAAGATATGTCTAGGATTGGGTAGAAGTAGGCCATCATACAGTAAGGAGAGGAGTAATATATTATCTTAAGGTATAATCCTGCATGACGCAGGCATGGTTGAGTGCTCTGAAAAAGGATGCTTTCTGTCAGGGCTGCCCTTTGGCCTTGCGGACACTTCGCACTTCTTCACCAATGATGCTTTTCTTCCTGGCCGCTATACCCCCTTCTAGCGTGGCATCTTTCGAGCTGTCGTCTATGTCCAGGCCCTGACTTTTCTGGCATTCCTCCATCTCGTCCTTGCTCACACCTTCGAGAAGCTGTGGCCGAACTACCTTCAACTTTACGACTTGGTGATTCTTGTCGGTATCTGACATTTTGTAGTATACTCGGAGGCCAATGACTGCAACCGCATTCCACGGGTCTTTTTCAAACTCATCCAGTTCCTCCTGATCAGCTCCGGGATGGCATCCTTCTTTTGCCGGCTCCCTACTCTCCTTGATGTGGGCATCAATCTCCAAATCCAGTTCCCGCCCAGACAGATCTGACAGGGACTCCAGATCTTCAGAGCTGACTGGGCCTTCGTCTCGGCTGACTTGCCGGGGGCCTTTTGAGGCTTCATTGGCAGGAGAGGCTGTTCCCATTCTTTGTGCTACCTCTAGGTCAGAGGTGGAAGCTGGTAGGTTGTCCCTCTTTTCGACCCGAGACTGCATTCTGCCTTTGTTTTTCGCCCTCCTCTTCTCTCGGCGTAGCTGTTTTCGTCGCAGATAATGCGACTCTTCCCGGGCGCACAAGATCCTGTGCTTTACATCCTCTCTTTTAGCTTGTCTTATCGTTTTGTCTCTCGATTCCTTAGCCGCCTTTTCTTCCGGCAATTCTACAAACTTGCCTTTTCTATGTGCAAGATCATAGGCTAGGCCGACGCGAATAAGTTTATCCCGCCTCTTTTTAGCATTGTTCCGGATGACTTGATCAAGAGGAAGTACTTGTTCGCGACGGCCAGCGATGATCTTCAGCCTCACTTGATAACTGCCTTGCTCAAGTTCGACTTCAACATTGACTGATCGCCTCATGCGATATTGAGTTTGGCTGCGGACAATATATTCCTCATGGCCTGTCTTGTGTAGGCGAAAGGCAAGCTGGAAATGATACTGGCCCTGCAAGCCTCTGAAGTATCGATCGTCAAGCTGGGAGAGAACAATTACCACAGGCCCTGGTTTCGAAATAGTGAAGCAAAAAGAGGTGTCGTGGTAACCCGTCGTCCAAGGAACTGTGAGGGTTGTCCAAGTTTGCGCCACGCCCCAATCCGGGCCAAACAGTTGTGTCCTTTCAAATGCTTGAAATTTTCGCAGGAGATCGCTGTATGTCATCCAAAAATCCCCATCCTCTCCAAATCTATGACCCAGCTTCTGTAGCCACTCTGAAGTCCACTCTTTCGAGCCGTCACCTGGAACACGTTGTCAGCCGCTCTATCTCGTGCTGAAGAAGAAGAGTACTCCCTACTCCATGCCCCTTTCCACTCCCCTTTTCCCCAGGGATTTTTCAGGCGTAAAAGCCTCTGTCCATCGATTTCCACGGCTTTCTGGACAGAATAGGCGTGAAGCTCGACAATTCCTTTGTTATCACTTCGATTCAGGCCCCAAACACCTGTGCTGCAACCGAAAAGAAACTCGTCGTTTACTCGGAGAAGCTCGCCCTAGAAACGCTCCTATGTCATCTGTTATTATAGGGCAGCTTTCTCTATCGCCGCCAAATGCACTCGCTCTCACCTTGTCGAGAATATCACTGGTGAAGAGCTCAGATGTGATACCACCAGTAAGGTCTTCAATACCTTCGCCGCCAAAACCACCCTCAATGGAAGCATAGTCTCCATGTGCTTTTGCATAGCACTTTTCCAGAAGCGGTAGCCATGTCTTTTGAGGGTCTTGGCACTGGGCAAAATAGAGGGCACTGCTGTTGGACTGATATACCCGGCGATAGGCTTCCTCGGGGTTGGCTCTCTCCAGTTCATCAAACAGCACACGATCCAAGTAGCTCTCGTCGTAATCTGGCTTGGTGAGATAGAGCTACGCGGCGTGTCAGCTTCTGTGTTTTCGAACAAGGGGAAGGAAAGGGCCGTGATGACAAACATAATCGTCAATGATCTCAGAGATCCATTCACCATCTCGATAGAAAACAAACCCATAGACACCAACATCCTGATCGTAAGCCACACAAATCTTCTCAATAAGGCCGGGCTTATTGCTCAGTGTACACAGAGCCGCCATGAGCCAGCAGTCCCCATCTCTGCCCTGCTTGACATCGTTGGCCGAAGGTGCGTCGACAAAGAACTGCGGCTTGTCAAATATGTCAACCACTCGTTTCGCACTTTGGGGCTTAAATGTGTGCCCTGGTGGTTTCCCTTCTTGGAAGCTCGGAAGCGACTCCAAGCAGTCCCGTCGTCCCAACTTGAGGTCCGCCTCAAGGTCGAAATGCGGATCTCGATATCTTATGTTGATACGACGGCATTCGTTGACAATTTTCTCCACTTTGGCTCTGCATATCGCGACGGCATCATCGTACGAGACGTAGGTGGCTGCTGAAGGGGGCTGTTGCCCACCGTGAACGGTATTTAGGAGTCTCGCTGCATGTGGGCTTTGCGGTATGACCGATGTAGCTAAGGCGAGAAACACCAATTTTGTTAGTTATGAGACGGATCCAAACAAAATAGGCGCCTGAACCTACCTTTTCCAGGTGTCTTTGAGTTGAATTTCGCCTAGAACTTATCGATAGTGTCTTGCGGTCCAAGCAACTTCGAGTCCTTCGCAGAAGGCTGCGGCTGGCTATCTGACTCTGGCATCGTGTATAAAGATATGAATGAAAGAAGAAATAGGGCTACTGCCGAAACAATAAATGAGAAAATTCCAGATTAACCAACGAGTGTTAAACTAATAGGATGGGATGTCTTGTGAACCTGGGCAGCTGGAGACGAAGCAAGGAAAGGGGCGCGTGCGAGATCAACATAAGATGTCCATACATATAGAAGGGGGAAGCAATATGACCCAAATTCAGGCTCGTACCCGCTGATTTGGCTTCACTGAAAGTGGGAAGGAAGAACCTGACCAGATCTTGGCAACTCGGATCTGCTGGAGGAAGGAACGAGAGCGGGCGCCACTTCTCAACACAAGAGGCCATCGACATAGTACTTATTCCGACATGGGATTAAGATCAAGACATGACAACAAACCAGAGATAACCACCGTCATTTCCAAGCCAGAAGACACTACAGATGCAGGATTCCACTTTTCAACTTCACTCGTCAGCGTTATCACTGTCAATCAAGGATATCATGAAGTTTCTATTCGTTATCGACATGATGTCAAAGTCATGGTCTATGGTATGGTAATCATCAAGTATATATGCTAAAAGCGCCAAACTCCGATTATGAACCCCCTCCCGTACTCCTTTTCCGTTTCGAAAGACGCCGGGGTATCCGTGAAGAAGAAAGCGAGAAGAAAACAAATGCTATCAACACCTAGAAGTTCCAATCCCTGGATGAACTCAAGCGTTTATAGCTAGACTGTGGTCTAAGATGGCGAGGATTAGCCCCCGTGGTCACTCCCTCATCGACCTTTATATATTTGGCCTTGGGCCTATCGGCAGCCTCTTCGAAGAAGTAGTGGTTCGCACTAGGCGCATAAGCAACACGCCAGGGGACGACGACGTCCCTCTTCTCAGGACCACCCCCGCAGCTGCCCTTGAGCTGGGCGCTGGGAGGGCTGTTGATGGCGAGAGCGAACAGATTCTGGGGTTCGGTATAGTCGGTGACGAGTCCAGAGCGAAGAAAGAGGTAGAGAAGACAGAACAGATTGATGGCAAAGACGAGGGCGAGGACGGCGTAGAAGATGGCCTGCCAGTCGTTGACGTGGCCAGATGTGTATTGTTGAGAGCGAATAGAGGCATTGAAGGCCTGGAGCTGACCAGGATCTTCAAGGACAGCCTCGGAGCTATCCCAATAATGACGGAAGGGGGTCTTGATGGAGCTAGTGACGAGCGTGGAGCTGATATACACAGCAAGAGCCTCGGCCATGCTGGGAAGCCGGGTTGGCATCTTCGGTTCAGAGAGGACGAGCTGCGTAAGCAGTCTTGCATTAGAAGCATTGTTGTTGTACACTCCGCCGTTGATGTCCATTGAAAGTCTCCATGCATCCGCCTATGAACTGCCTGTTAGTCTCAAGTAATCATAGGTAAGTAGCAGTCGGGTAGACTTACGACCCATTTCCAGTCGGGGGCAGGAGTCGAAGCAATCTGATCACCGGGGTACGAACGCAGAAAGCTATCTTTATCCTGTGGGTCTTCGCAGTAAGAAGATGCCCTGGCCCCCGACGTACCAGATATATCAAAGCGCGTGGAGCAGTTGGGAGATACCCATGAACGAAGCTCGCAGAGAGTGTAGTCCGAGAAGTCTGGCTTTTTACCCAGGAGGTATATGGCTTCGGACGCTATCATCGAGGAGTTGGTGATGGTATTGTAGTCAGAGGGATACTATAGAACGGTAAGTAAGCCAGCTGCAACCAAGTCTGCCGCAGAGTCTTCGGGAAAGCCTACAAGTTGGAAGTACGGGGGGCGGCGCTCGTACTTGGGGCCCCATCTGAAGATATCATCCACCTTGGTTCTGTTGAGGAAATCCTTATCGTCGTCGTAGTTTGGAAAGTCGTTGGTCCAGTCAGAAGCTCCAATCAACTGATCACCAACACCCGTGCTGTTAGTTCGAGCGTCGGGCCAAGCGGTATAAATCAGCGGCTCCAGTTCCTCCTTGTTCATATTGACACACATAACGTTTACCGTCGGAGATACGACACCAGCACGGATGGAATATGATCCTACACCACCGAGATCATCTGGCTGCAGAATCCCGTTGAACTCCTCCTTGGCAGCAGACTGCACTCCTGGATGAGGCATGGCCATGGTGACGTTGTTGATGATGCGGTTGTGTTGCTTGAATGAAGCCTCGACATCGCTGTTGTAGGTTTCGATCCAAGAAGCGACCATGGTGGTGTTTTCATAGAGACTAGTGCCCAGTGGGCGGTCAACCTGAATGATTGCCGCGTCTCTATCGTTGTCCAAGTAGTTGTGTTGCCATTGATCCATGAAGTTGAGCAAGTCGCGGTATGACTGACCGGAAGATTGAATGTTCATGCAAGCCTCGGAACCGTGGAGTTTGTCGCTTGTTGAAATGAGAGATGGGCAGGTTTTCGAGATGTATAGTGCGTTGGCGTAGGAAGCCATGATGTGACCTTCCATGACCGTCTGATCCCAGTTGCCGAACTTGAGCTTTGGAGCGACCATGGCATCAGAGGCAGTGGTGTAGAAGGTAGCGGCTAGGGTAGCAGTCAGACTCAAGAGACCGAGAATGGTCAACCCAGCTTCGGGCAAGGTCTCGCCGTGGGTGATGAGAGAACCTGGCTGGATGACCCAGTTGCGCATGGTAATCTCAGCAAGAGTCATGCCCTTGGAGTTGCGGAGAAGAGAACGGCGGGTCAAAACCTGACCGAGGAAGGAGATGAAGACGGTGACGAAGCTCATTTCGATGGACTTGGCGGCGAGAGCAGCCAGAGTTGTGGCTGTCGAGGGGCTCAAACCTTTGCGGGATGAGATATCACGACCCCACCGGGGCTGGAGGATGGCGGTGACGAGCCAGAGTCCGCTCATGATTGTTGAATAAACGGAAAGAATGTAGATGATGATGGAAAGCCAATTCGACCTCTTGATGTGAATATCCTTTCTTGAGTCGCAGGAAGGGGGCACACCGAAGCCACTGTAAAACTTTCCGTCATCAAACTCCTCCTCATCATCGCTACTGTTGTTCAGTCTGCGGCTTTTTGCGCCAAGTTTTCCTGGGCTGCCTGGGACCGAGTTTGTCTGGGATGGGGTTGCGGATGGGGAGTTCTCGCCAGGGGGCATTAGCCACGCTGGATGGTTTGGGTTCTCCCCGGCTTCCTGAGCGGCCTGCTGAGAGCCTTCATTCATACCCGGTGCAAAGGCCGGTGACCTGCTTCGGATGTTGGATGGGGTCGAAGCGGCGGAGCTTCCAGGTGTACCACCAAAAAAGGCCCGTACCGATTTCGCGCCGCCTACGCTGGGGTTGTGAGCAGCGGGGACTTGGTGGACATTGCTGTTGTCAAAGACTGTGATTCCCAAATCAGATGCCTGTGCGCGCTCCCCTGGTACTTGCGCTGTCTTTGGTGATGCAGAAGTAGAGCCATGGCCCTGGGCGACTTCGAGGAGCTCCATGTCCCGGCTCTGATCGTGGCTCCCATCGAGGGGCGAATAGCCGACCGGGCTGAAGAGGCTGATTGACGTGAAATTGTTCAAGGGTGAGACGACACCAAGATGACCAGCAGAAGCAGGCGAAACTGCTGAAACAAGTTCATCCCCTCCGTCATTGTATTGCTGCTGTCCATGCTCTGGGTGGTGATTGGAAGGGTTGGAGTCCGCCATGATGAAAATGACGGCTCAACCAAAGCCAATTGATCTGAAATGAAGGTCGAATTGAGCAATTGATCAAAGACTCGAGACGACTGAAATATATACGGCGGTCCTTGTTCGCGAGCGTATCGTGGGGATATTTACAAGCAACCGCCAAGAGATTGAATGTCTCTTGGCAGGGTCCCGATTTAACGGATCAGCATGAAGAACCTGAACTGTACGGTTATTAGAGGGAGAAAGAAGCAAAGAGAAAACAATTTCGAGTGACGCTGGTAGAAATGGAGGAATTATGAGAGGGTGAGCGCGAGGTGAGAAAGGGAAGAGGAAGAAAGAATGAAGGACCTTCCACGAGTGTTCTAGATGGAAGCCAGCACTACTTGAGAGAGAGAGTACGTGCGCTCGATGCAAGGCCAGCAGGGAAGCAACTGGTACTAAAACAATCCCGACACGGGTCCTAGTAAAATAATAAAAAAAGGTGTGGCAGGGTAGCACAGCTCCAAGGCCTTATGCATGTGTGGGGCAGAGATGAAGCCTTCCCCCACCAACAAATGTAGACGGATGGAGACTGGTCGAATCGAGTGATAACGGACCAACATGACCGATGGGGTGGTAGGAGGCAGACAGAGGGGAAGGGAGAGAAAGAAAGAGAAGCTCCTTACAGCAATTTTAATCCGGTTCAGAGGAGCACCGGGGTTAGCGAAATGCTGACAGAAGTCCGACCAGAGCAGCCAAGGGTTGGTCTGCTCAACTCAAGGCTGGGGTTTGAGGAGCTGAGCAGATCTTGGCTCTCGAAGCAGAGAACGAGGAAGCGAGACGAGGAGATTTGCGGCTGAATAGGCGGTGGTGCTGGGTAAGTGGACAATATAATTGATTCTTTCAAACAATGAATCAATGGACAACTACCAACAGCGCAATGCGGGCATGCAGTACAATGTATGCGCATTCATTCCTCTCCCGTCAATACAGCGAATATATTGTCAATACCATGCCCGGGCCGGGTAGATCTCAGATATTTACATTTACATACTGGCTGCATGGTTGGCGACCTCGCTTTGCCCTGCGTGCTTATGGCCAAGATGACTATTATTACGACAAGCCGAACGCACAGCCCTTGAGCAGATGGGGAACGGTCTTGCCTGAAGAGGCATGGGGGGGATGAATGCACGCCATAAGGGAGTCGGCTGCCAGTGAGAGACGAGAGAGAGCTGAGGAAGATTGATTCAAGGACTTGATAAACCTGCGGGGCGGATCTGCACCCCAGCAGCCTCCATGGCTCTGCTTACTCTGGCACTACCTGCTGCGATGATACAATGCTACCCACATGGCATGGGACGACGCTTTTTACTAGCATGCCCACACGGCCCCTATTCAATCTCTGGCAAGGAGGATTCGTCTGTTGCTAATGACATGAAGTGCCGTGCTAATTGTCAGTGGAGAGAGCTTGAGCACTAGAGGAGGCGAATGTGCCCTGTGCCAGCACATGATTACAGTGAGGTCCCGAGCGCAGCGGAAGGAGGTCAGTGTCCAGAGCAGAGACTGAGAATAACAGCAACGCAGTTGAGCTGATGCCTCCTCCGGCGTATAGAATCAGCCTTCATCTTCCCAGAAAGAATGTCGGCATCAACAAGCTTAGACCAAGACAAGGAACCACGGGATGTTGAGCAAGGTTGTTTTCTACTCTACGTGGTCTCCGGTTGTCAGACAGCGAGACCCACTAAGCGTAGTGGAAATACAGTGGATAGCTCTAATGTAATCTACACTGTGTGTCAATCCGCTTGGGGAAGCCAGACAGATCTTCTTCCCAATTGGAAACCTCACATGTGCACAATGTCACAGCTGAATGTTCCATCTCGGACATGTAATTGATTCACTACTTGGCCGGCACTCTTCCTCTACTCTCATAAGAAGATCCCCGCTACCAAGCAGCAAGATAGAGCGATATGCCACCACCATCGATGACCAGCTAGTGCTAAGCAGGTACGCGTTGAAAAAAGAAAATACAGTGTCTGCTGACACTGTGGGTAGGGACCCCTCAAGGGTGCTAGCAGCTCTAAGCCCTGGAGCCATTGTGATCCATGGTTCCTTAGGAAAGCACCTAAAAATAGTCCTACGTGTGGCTGGTTGTGCCTGCAAGCCACTGCAACCGAACCTCTTCCCACAAGCCTCTCCCGTCCCACCAGTTTGGTTGGTCTTCTCTCCGCCATTACACTGCATACTCTCCAAACCACTATCAAACCGGATGAGGCGAGGACTCACGTGGCGACGAGGCGCATTTCCCTAAGCATCCGTGTTTGGTTTGAGCCTGTCCCTGACCAATAGAGATGCCCGATTCCCACTGTTCCCTTCCCTTGCTTGACGTGGCAACGATCTAGCGACGCACATCAGACAAAGAATAGCCATCTGGATCTGACTACCTCATCAATCACAGACACTGCCTCACCTACAAGATCCACACATGAATGCCTAAATGCGTCCCCGGCGACAGTAGCCCCAACTATTTCTAATCATACCCAAGGTACGCTATGGTAAGCCAACACTCGGGTCAAGTTACCCGTTCGGCAGGTTATTGCCCAATTGGTTTTCAGCCATCAGCCTCTGGCGTAATTCTTAATCATGAATGCATACCGGGAACTTTATGTTTATTTCTTTGCAGCATATTCCAACATACTTGTTCCCAGGCCCCGATCATCCAGACCCTCCTTCTCATACATAGGTCATTAGACCAACCCGACTGGGCAGATGATATCATGCAACTGAGCGAAGCGATCGCCACCTCATCCATCATCAATAAGCAGAAGGCCAGTTTATTGTTGATCAGTAGCTCCTCCCCAGGCTCGAGGTAGCAAGGCAGCAGGAAAATCAGGCTACCAAGCGTGAGTCAAGACCACCGACGTTGTGTTCCAACCACAGTATCAAAGCAACAACTACAATAGGCAACAGAATATCAAGGCAACATGCAATAACAAATAAAATAGAACCATGTATTTTCTTTTTAGTAAGTGAAAGAAGAGTTAAGTGTGAAATCTACGTGTCAGAGGCCGACCGCGGAGTTCTTTGTCATGTTGAATGTCACCTACTCACATATATCCTCCATGCCTCCGAGATACTTCACTACACTTGCCATATTAATCGAATTCCACACTGTTTGAGCATTTATGGAATTGGTCATGAAGTTTTGACCCGAACTATGATCTAAGGATGAAAAATATCTTCCCGTTCATGAATCCCGACACGGTTTGAGAGAAAGAACAGACCTAGGCTGACCTGTTGACACATATCGGTCGTTAATGGGATCTATGCCCTTTGATAGGAAACAAACTGAGATACTGCTGCCTCAGGGTTGCCCCAAGAAACGCTGTAGCTACCCCTGAGAAGATGATTCAACTCACCCCAAGCATACTTCTCAATATCCATTCGCTATGAGCATCTACCCTTCCACCTGAGTAATCAAGATGTCAGATCATCTTTTAAAATCAACGTATATGGCGAGCTTCTTAGGGTTTCAATGCCATAACCTTAAACCCCGAACAATGCCGGGTTTAATAGACATGAAGCAGGGCCAGCCTCAGAATCTGATAACAAATTGAATACAAAGTTACACAGCAATCTTTCGATCCCGACTCAATTGGTAGCAGGCAAGGCATTTCTCACAATGCAGCCCTGCTATGTCTCTATCACATCACTTTAGTTATCTCGAGGTACTTGTGCTATCCCTCCATCGTGGAGAAGACACCCAGCTGTGGTCGATAAGAGACAACTTTGAAAGGCTCTTCACCCTCCGATAACTGAACAACATCTAAGTGTCTGCGATGTTGGTATAGATCAAATGATTTTAAAATGGTGTTCAGTCGCGCTACATGTGCTGATAGCTCATTGTGATGACAATTTCCCTTAACTCTTTGACGAATGAAGTCAGTGTGCACAACACTTTTGAAAGCTTTATGCATGGATCCCGACTATTTTTGCTATTCCAAGGTGATCTACTTCCTGAGAAAACACCTCGGAGTTTCTGGCACCAAAAACCAGCCACGATTGGCTTCGTGACAACCTAGGGGCATACATCAATATCAAAGGTGCGGAGTTTATTGACCATGAGAATACTCCTACGTACCATAAAATCTCGCTATGGGTATTTTGAGGGTCTCAGAGAAGTACATAGTATGGAAATCAGTAGATATGTAGTCGTATCATTTCTGAAGATCTAGAAGCGTTCAGAATTAGATTCAAACGAGCTGTACACTTTGTTATCCGTGGTTATGACCGCCGAAAGCGCCTGAGCTGATATTTCTCCAATCATGGCCCCGTTTTCTCCTTGAAAATCCAACTTAGTTTTGCTTCTCCAGACTGTTTACATGAGCCATGTCCGAATACGCCAAGCTCTAATGTTTAGTTCTCGGAAACAACCGACTTCCCCTCACTTCCTAGTCCGTTATTGCTAAACTGCTCAGCCTGTAATCTATAGATTTAATCAGTCTTCTTTCCGTCTAGGCAAGTCAGACATGAGCCGGGGATCGCAGGACGAACTGTGAGCTACATGTCACAGTGTTACCTACCTTACGGGGTTTCTTACATGCTGGTAATAGTAAAAAGAAAATCTTTCTCAAATTGGGAGCTACCGGATTCCACGAGACCAGTATTTCCATACATTCGGGCGTCATCTAAAACAGAAAATCCAGGCAAAAGAGATCTCTTCCAGGAGAAACTCTCCCATGCCGCATACATAAAGTAACAGGCAACATTGGCACATGTTAGGGGAAGATGCATCCCGGGCAATAGTGCAAACACAAATGAAATCAGGCAGAAATCCGGGCTACATCAGCGGGAGAATTCCTCCGGCACAGAGTCTTCTTTCTTTCCGCACTACGAATGCCCTCCAAAAGAAAGTCTCCCGATGCTCTGCCATGGCTACCTCTGTAGAAGCTACTTCCCCGGGGCGAGCTTGGAAAGCCGCATAATTCTTGTAATATTCATATGTTATGAAATTTCTCCAATTTCATCTGTCGGACAAGTCGAGACGTAATGAAAGACAGTTTAGAAAAGTGCGGGCAAGTTGACTGCGAAATGAGTAAGAGGGAGGGCTCCTTGTTCATTAATTGTACGATTATTCACGAGTTTCCTTATTTCTCGATGTAAGTCTCCCTTTGCCATTGTCGTTTGGTCGAGATTGGCAGACGATCTACCTGACATCACTCTGGTAGCATTCGGGGCGTGTTAAAGGCCAGTACCAGCCAGGTTATTCTCGCCGTCTCCCTCGAGTGCTCAGATTGCTCGTTGGCGTTAATGAAAAGCAAGTGCCAAGGCAAGCGGCGGATAGCTATAGCCTCATTATGTAGACGAGACAACTCATTGTTGACTACGTACTAGATGTCGCAAGGGTATAACACCGTTCAGAAATCAATTCCGTAGCAGATAAACAACCAAATACACATCACTAGGCACCAAACTTCAGACATAAGCCTATATCTTTGGATATGACCGACCGTATTTAGGTCTGGAAACCATCATTCATTAACGCTTAAGCTCCGTGAGTTGATCTATTGAGCAAGGCCACACACCGGTTTCAGAATTATACAAAACGCTAGCGATGGCTAACTATTATCGTTCCCTAGAATAGCTCCTCTATTGTGGAAACTATGAGGCGATATCAGGTTGGCCGTCTTTGGTCGTTACAGTGTTCACTTCGAATTGAATCTCACTAGGGAGATTCCTGATACGTGTAACATTCGATGCTGGTCAATCCGTTCTGAGGACTGTGTAATTGGGGCATGAAATCAGTGGTTATCTTACCTCTCGCCTTCATTAGTAACTCGAGCTAGATGATTAAGACAACCAAAGGTCTCCCTCTCTACGGATGTCCAGAGCCCTTCAATCAAGTAATTGCCCAGCTCTTCAGAACCAAGTAAATATATGCACGTAGCAATTTCAAGATCAGCAACACGGTGGGCTGCGTATGACGTTCGAAACTTCAGCGTGGCAGGTGAACAGCTCAATCCAGACCAGCTTTCGCCTCCCAGACACTCTAGTTCCAGGCCCTTTTGTAGTGCCCTCTGACGACACGAGCTTCTGCTGACTGTCTCTGGTAAGTAGGGATATAGTTGACATGGTATAAAACACCCTCCGAAAGGCCAAACACCCAACACTGGCGAGCCTGTGGCTTGTAAATGTTCATTTTACTTCCACCTCACTTCTCCCTTCATCGTCGCTCTTCAGTCTCTCGTTACATTTTAATATCAATGACTAACACAAAGAGTATGACGCACGCAGCCCTCAGGGGTAACCAGTATCATGGCCTTTATATCAGCTGCAAACAGTGCGTCAAAAGGGGCGCTGTGAATGTGCAAATAGCGTGACTATTTGTTCACCGGGGGTAGTCTGGTGTAAGTTTCGAGATTCTACGAGGTAAGCAAACAAGATGAACCCTGGTGAGGAAGGAGAGCCTCGCTTAACCATACTTTACATAGTACACCCAACATACAAACACGCTCATGTATCGAGTTCACACATCACAGATGGACATGAAACACAACAGCTCTCGTTCATTTTAAAGCCTAATATTCTCACCTTTCCTCGTTGAGTGCCCTAGATAATGACAAGGGGTGGAAACTGTCTCCCCAGCATAGGGTAAGGATTCTTCACAGCCTCACCGTCAGTTATAAATGAGAAAAAGCAGACATGCAGGCAGGGACAACCACCATCCATGCTATCAAGCCAGGTCAGATAACGCCCTGCAGATAAGCAACAGATATCACAACTCCTTGGGTTCTTGGACGGATGCTATTCAGGGAAACAAGGCTCAAATCGGAGCTGGGTGGACTCGAGGGCTGACGGGAAGATGGCGCGCCAACTAACCAATACGCCAACTGCTGGCCAAGGCTGGGGAAATGATAGGCTAGCAATATTCCTCCCAAGCGTCAGGAAGCGTGTCGGCGGGAATTCCTGCTGGGTTGAGATGGGCGTGCGTACAGAGGAGGAGCCAGTTCGCAGCTGACAGGCGAGCCCCGGCCCGCAGTGAGCCAAGATGCATTAGTCTTCCCGGTAACACTGCTGTGACGGCTGGTTCAAGTGCATGAAGCACGGGTTGATACAGCCAAGCACGAGGGAAAGGGAAAGTGCAGCCGTTCCATCTGCATGCTGGTCGGGCTTATCTGGGACTGACCTCGGGCTGGCCATGCAGGCAGGGGTCAGACCCGGGCTCGAAGGTAGGGGACTGCAAGCGGGAGGGAAAAGCAAAGGAAGTTCGTTGCCTGAATTTCTGAGCCACACCGAAGAAGATGCGGCTGGAAAGGCGGTATCCTTGCAGCAAAAGGAGGGGTCTCTCTTCTTCTGTCTGCGAGGAAGTGTGTTCACGGCATCAGCAATGTCCAGGTCCGCCCCGGCTAGTCTCGGTCAGAAGGGCCAAGGATAGGCTGGGAAAGGTACCACGTCCCTAACGTGTTTTGGGCGGGATGAAGAAGGCGTTTGCGAGCCTGATCTGCATCTGCATGTGCGCACTTGAGGCACACGCCATCTCTCGGAGCTCGTTGCTACTACTATGCAGTAAACTCCGACCAACTCGTGTTTCACGGGATCGATTCGGTAGCGACCAAGGCCGACCTCAATTCTCAGTCCAGTCAGCCACCCCTCGGGGCAAGTTGGCCCCCAATTGGACGAGGTAACGAGCTGTCTACGTTCCTGTCATCGCTCGGTCTGGGCACGGTGGACGGTGTACCAATCCCAATCCCCCACCACTCCAAAGGAACCCCAATGCAGATCCAGGCTCCCTTGCTGGCCAGCTCCATTAAAAGACGTACGATGCAATCTATCGGAGGATCGCTCACGAGCCCAAGCTCCGCAGCGGCATAAACGGAGTACTCTCCCCTAGTGTGTGAGAGTGGTCCTGGCTACGGCCACGGCCAGGACCAGGAGGCCATGCCAGACATCCATCTCACCATCTGAGTTGAACTCACACCCAGATCACGCTCTTCCTTCGATGTTGGCGTTTCTGCTGCTAATTATGGAGTCTTCAACAACCTACCACCATAAGGCTAGTAGGGTTGCCCACGGCGGCAGTCGAGCGTAGGATCTACTCTATCAGGACGCCGTTTCCTCGTAGAATGGCAAATCCAACCAGCAGGCGGACATCCGGCGAGAACCGAGCCAGCATCTCTGATCCCTGAGTACAGCATCTCCGGCCAATATTCCAACATGGCACATGGCCCGAGACCAGGAGCCACAAGTGGCAGCCCCCTCTATGTTCATGTACAGCTGCGAGGGGTCGAGCCAAAAGTGGCATAGGTAGATACCGCAGATATCGTCCTGCAGGTGTCTATCTACACACATCCCAGCTCGTTGATCTCATTATCCTTCTTCAGCTTTCTCCCCGCACGAAATGGCTGTTAGTCGGCACCTTGCCATGTGTACATGCATGGGTAGGCAAATGCGCTTCGTTTCAGCAGCCGATCCTAGGACAGTACGGATTCGAGGTCGAGGCATCGGCGACGTGCCCTACTAGGCACATGTACCATGATCAAGCCAGGGTGCTGAGAGTTAGCCTGGCCGCCTGCTGACTGTATGTTTTACATGGGACGAATCGCCTTTCTCGGGTCCCACACCGAACACTATAGCTGAAGGTTTAGCCTCTTGATAGCTCAAGAGGAACCCGGCCTAGTCTGCGGTGCCAAGGTCGCGTTACGTACAATGTAGAATTGCAGAGTAACACAAGACCAGTAGGGGCACGGAATAAGAGGGGAAGCTGCTGTGTGCGTGGTGTGACTCCATCCCAAGCTCAGAGCCGTAATCGATTCCCACCAACGACTTCAACCACAGCTAGGGCCTTCACATCCACTCACACGAGCAGCAGTGCGTGTATGTGGATATGGGGATATGCAGGATTGATTGAACAGGTGCTGTGGCGAGCACATGGCTATCCGCCACTGCCGATGCATTTTCGCTTCCCCTGCGCTAGCGATGATGACTGTCCAGGTACGTGAGATTATCAGCTGTAGATTGTGTTCTTCTACGCCACCGATATCTCGTCTGCGGACCGGAGAAACAGGAGGAGAAACCAGAAGTCTAAAATGTGGCCGGTCAGTACATTGGCCTTGTTTGGGTGTATGGGAAGGGGAGGAGGGGTGTTTGAGGCCCGACATGTGGTGATCACCAAAGGCTGCGCTTGTGAGATGTCTCAGGCGGCTGGGACGGCTGGAATAGGAAAGAAAGGCCGCCGTTCCAGAATCGATGACAAGGAGGATGAGGCGTGAGGGCTTTCGCGTCGGGCTGCCACACCTTTGGGATGTGAGTTCGGGTTCGCTGTTCCGTGGATGTTTCTAGCGCCAAAGTTTATCCTCCCCTATTGCTGCCCAAGTGCGTTGTGCCACTCTGCTACCGCAACGGCAGTGTAGATGGAAGCATGGATCCGGTAAGATTCCTGCTGCTCTGGATCGACGTTCCATCCATCCATCACTCAATCCACGCACCCGTTTGCCGGTATTTTCGCCCTCCCTCGCCGCGGACGATACGTCATTAGACCAGGCGAACACATTAAAATTGCAAACTAGAAATCATTACGTATCGATGAATTGACGATGACACAGTGACAGGCTTCTGACTTCCTTCTAGCGCCAACTTCAGGTTGTTCGGCACCCTACTGTGATCTAAGGCTGCATCTACAGGGTAGCGCAAGAGTAGTTGTGCGCGAAAATCACCAGCTGGCTACATAACTAGACAATGAACTGGTCCCCTGCCACACTGCATATCACCAGTCTACTACAAGGTGGCTAGCGACTGGTAGCCCTTCTAGCCCTTGCTAGAACAATGGCTAGATGATGAAGATCGCCCAAGAAAGGATCCTGATGGCGTCGTGCACATTTTATCTATGCACACACTCCCTCACAAACTCACTTTCACGCTTATGTAGGTAGATGTATATATGTATGAGCTGCAAACACGGGCTAGCAGCATTACTCGAGAATGCACACACCGCAAACCGTCGTTTCTCGTCGGCGGTGATGGTGTGTGCACAAGTCCCAGGAAAGGGGTGGCCAAAGTGGCGGTCATCGTCCGATTTGATAGCAGAGTGGAAGAAAGTCGAAGTCATACGCAGATGGCGAGGAGGTTGAATGGCTCGAAGCTAAACCAGCCAGTCATCATTCTATAGGCTCCTCCGCTCAATATTACTATGATCCGGCGTTCATTGGAGGGACGGAAGGTTAAAAGTAGTCACGCTTCCGTTCGGGCCAAGGAGCACCCCTGTAACATAGTATATGCGCGTCCGCATTTACACCTTTCCACGTGCCACAGAATACCTACATAGGGATGTGATCGAGACGGATGTCTCAGGAAGGATGAAAGGATGGGTGATGACTGATTACGCCGTCTGCTGGAATCTTCAACGGAACCAGCGATATGCAGGCCACCAACGCCGTCTGACTCGGGACAGGGAAAAAAGACCTAACGCACACGTGTGTGTGTGTCTACACCTAATGCACATGGACGTGCATATACATGAAACACGAAATCTGGAGAAATCAATTGGAACTCGACTACGAAGGCCCGATCGACCGCACATGATATCCACACACATACAAATGGGCAGAGTGGCAATCGGCAGACAGGGACATGTTGAGCTAGAAGAAAAAGCAAACAATAAAAAAAACCAGGGACCTGAACAATGAAGATTCTGACCAGGACCCATGCCACGTGGATCGGCCGGGGCGACGCGTGCCAAGAGAAGGGGGTCCCTCCCATACGGTGAACGCAGTCTAATCGGGGTACATTCAGACATGGATCCACGGCGCAGATGGAGGTATGGGTGGATGATGCTGTGATGATCAAGTAGATGGAAGAAGGGGGTTTACATATTGCAGCTTGCGGGTGGGTGTCTTGGGTGTTGGCCCAGCCAGCCATCCCTCGTCTAATCTGCGCCATTGGCAATGTACCGGATGTTGGTGTTTGGAGGCATCAATCAATGTCTGCATGTACACAAGTATTATATGTAGGTATATCAACTAATAATTGATGTGCCAAAGTCCAGATCCGCCGGTTTGTGCCCCAAAATTGAACTCTCCGCCACTTCATCACCTGACAGAGTCCAGCTTATGCCATTGCCATCACATGTCCGTGCTTTGCAGCAAATGGCGGTATCCAACCTGCCACAAAATTCTGTTTGAATAAATGGCGACGTATTCACCGACCAATGACTGCCCGGATATGCGAGGCACCCGTGATCTGCTGTATCCCTGCTGAAGATGCAGCCCCCAGCCAACGCTTCTCTCCTGTCTACACACACGCACCACCAGCTCTAATACGTACACTCACACACTCGCACACGGCGCAGCCAACCAGACAAGGCCCTTTTCCGAATTTTCTCGTTTCTCTTTCCTTCCTCACTGGTGCGTTATCCGGACCCAAAAGGGGCCATCCGAGGATTGTTTTCTTTTTCCTCTGCTCCAGCAGGGGTGGGGATCTTCCGTGATCGATCTTTCATCCATGTTACTTCTTTTATTTACAGTTACATGCAGCCCTACTACCTAGCTACCTAGTTACGTAGATGCCTTCTCCAGACTGATTTGCTACATGGGGTGTAGCCCGTCCCAACTCTCTCACTCTCCCTTCTCCCAAGCGCAGGTTGGACAAGGCGTTGGTCCGCCTTTTCAGCCATATGCTCTACTGTGCCTCGACTGCATTAGTGAAGCACAACAGATACTAGAATTAGATGGATGGATGGCTGGAGCTCGTTCTCAAACCTGTTTCCACATCCCACTAGCCCCTCTTGACAGTCGAGGCACCTCTCAGCGAGCGGAGCCCTGCATGGTGCCTCTCGCCAATTTGCCCGCTGCGGCTTCGACATCACCTCAGGCTGGGGGTGACCCTGATGTGTATCAAGCCGAAGAAGAGGTCCAGGGGAGCAGGCCGGCCAGGAGGGGCGTGTGCAGCAGGTAGTGCAGTGGGCTCCCCGACCTTGGCAGAGCCGGTCCTGCAGCCAGCATTTGCTTGGTTGCCCTCATCCAATTCAATTCAACCTCGAGAGCGAGCTCACCGTCGGCGTTATGCGTGGACGCAGACGGAAGTCCCAGCCCCCCGCCCTCGCTGGTCCCCCTCTTCCCTTCCCTTATGCATGCATGCAAGTGAGAGATATTCCGATGGCCTGCACAAGATCTTCACCGTCTCACCAGGGCCTGGGACACTCGTATCCAGCCCGAGCGGAGACGTCAGAGAAACGAAGCGCAGCGGCGCCCAGTTCTGGTTGGCCCACGGCATCCATCCTCACCCTCCTCACCAGCCCGTCAAAGGGATAGCCCCATGCCAACCCCGCTAATAATAGTAAAGGGTAGGGGACCTGAAATTCAATCGAGTAATTAGCATTTTACCTGCGGGCGAGGGGCCTGGCCAAGCTGCGCCCGCTCGGGACAGGGAACAATGCTTGATCATCCAGCCGTTAATCATCCCTCGTTGCATCTTCCCTCTAACCGTTACTCGCCTATCTTACCGGAAACCAACTTCCCCAGGGTCATTTCCTCCCCCCTTCGAGGTAACTCTTGCGAGCCATTGCCAGGCGTTGGTGACGACTCTCCCTGGCAGCCGCATGCTCGCTCACACCGTACCAACGAGAACCCAGCTAGAGCTAACAGGCTTGCCATGCATCTGCAAGGCTTCCAGTTCTAGTATGCCACCACCACACAGCAGCGCTACTGCTACAGGTCTGTAGGATGGGAGGGCGTGTGGATGGGAGCACGACACCAACCGCTGCCAGAACAGGGCAAAACGCGACATGCATCCTTTTACGTAGAGTACAGTAGTAGGCAGGCCCTTGGAGCGGAGCTAGCAGGTGATGAAATTCCACCTCGTGGGCGTTGCCCGTTCTTCGGCCCTGGCGGCAGCGCGTTGTACATGCCACGCGCGCCAAGACACGCCAGCCGCTGCAGACATACCACGCAGCTAGCATCTAGTATGTATAAACCAGGAGGTGGTGGATGAGGGAAGTGAAGGGGAAGTGGATGATCATGGGCTGCTGATGCTCTGATACTCTGACCCTCTGCCTGCTCTGCCTCGCTGCGCTGTGACGATAACGCACTTCTCGTACATAGACGCTCGTCCATGTGCCAAGCAGGTCGATTCGAGTTTCATCTGCAGGCTGGCCCACGGGCGTCGGCGGTAGCAGAACCTATGGTGCCAGCCAGCAGCTAGTCTGCATGTATGTACATCCCATACCTGCATGTATACACACATCCATCCCCTTGAGTGTAGCGCGCGCGCTTTCCTTCCTTCCAGTTACCTACATCATCCAGCGCCTCCATCGACAATCAGCCAGCGATTACCCGAACACAACGCCTCTCGGTTTGGAAAACCCTCGGAACGGAAAGATGCCGGTTCCATTCTCCCGCCCTTCCAGCCACTCCTCGTGTCGACTTTCCCCCAGCAATTTCTAGAAGCTGGCCTGGAACGAAACCTTGCTGCTGGCGCCAAACTCTATCTGAGGCTCACGCCAGCCAACCGGCCGCCAGAGCACAAAAATCGCCTCTGCACACCACGAACGGGCACAAGACCGCCCCGAGCCAATTCCTGTGGGGGTTTTCCGAGCCTCTTCCTCTTTCCATCTCTTTCCCGCGGTGGCTGGCGCCCGGAGATGGGTGGGAGAACGGGTCACTTGGAAGCTGGAAGCTTAGCTAGAGGGGGGCGAGGGACCCTCCCATCCATCGTAGATTTCCCACGTTTTTTTGACTTTTGCGCTGAGCATCACCTGGCCTGCACCTAGCATGCTGTCCCGTTGCATGTAACTCTCTCGTTGTCTTGATTCTTCGCGGTGCTAGTGGGCTCTAGTTGGAAGCCGGACCCGTAAGGGGACTGAGCAGCCACCCTCCCCCTTCGAACATGCGCCAGAAGAGTTCTAACCCTCTGAGCGACAGCCGGGAAGGGGTAGAAGTATAGGGGGGAAACACGCCTGCTAGTGATGATGAAAGGAGGGCAGCCTCTTCAATGTAGGTCGCAGGGGGTGGCAAGATGCAGGTTGAATGTATCTAAGAGGAGTACTCTGCCAGGGGACGACGAATGACGAGGCCGCGGAGGAGCAAGACCGAGAGATATCCAGGCGAAAACGAGAGATCTATGCCGTAGGAACGCTAGCAGTTAGACTAGAGAAGGCTCACGATTGATAGCGATGGCACCCAAACACTGCTTGGGGGACGAGGGGATGGGCTGGGAACCGCAAAGATCTGCAAATGGAAGCGGCAGAAGACATGTCATGTATGTGCAGACGAACCTT